CCAACTGCAGTCATTCTTTACCCATGAAGAAAATAGACATCTCGGGGGGTAGTGGGGAGGAATTAATACATAATCAGTATAGAATAGCTCTCAGACAAAGCCTAAGAGATCAACATTTATAGAATTAATTTCTGGACAAATGATGTTTGACTGGATTGGTGAATGGACAGTCCTTGTGCCTGGGTTATATTGGGGGCACTTCCAAGTTGGGTCTCACTTCAGATTCCCCAGCCCTTACTATCTCACTTGTCATAAAGAAGGAATTCCTAAAGGAGGAAGCTGTGCTTCTGTTCTTGCTAGGCCTACCTCACTTTGCAGGATTAAGTGCCTATTACTTATGACCTGTCTTTTTGGATACAAACCAATAAAAGTTAGAGCCTTACCAACAGCCATGATTCTAATTCATCCTCTTTTATTTCTCACAGTTGAGAATCAGCTCTGATTCTCAGTCCTTCCCATCACCAGACACAAGTCAATTGAGGTGTTAAGTCTGGAAAAATCGCACCCCTCCACACAAGCTCTGAATGGCCTCTATACATTTGAGATGTAGATCGTGCTAGGAATACCCATCACATAGGCACAATAGGCTTGGTTTGGGGGAAGGGATGTGGTATGGTTGCAAATCATGACCTTTGTGCTCATGTGCAGCCAGCACATCCTGCAGATTAGACAGGAAAAGGGGCTTGTGGTACTTTCAGAACAATTTCACTATAATGGAATATTGTATGCTGAGGTAACTGGAGCCTTGTTGTACTTTGCGACTCAGTGCATGAAGGTACCAGAATCATGAAGGAATGCATCAGTTAAAACAAAAATAGTCACTAGATGATTTGGGAGGTAGCAGAATCAAGCATTTTGAGAAAAAGTAACTGATTTCGTTGAGTCAATTTAGGTCACAAGAAACCTCTTTCTGTCAACAAAGTCTACTTGGCTTCCAAATTCCACTGATGTTGAGAAGACCAGTTGCAGGTTACCATTTCAGCAGCTTCCTCAAAGGGGAAACAGACCCTCTGAAGAGGAAGAGGATTAAGACCTGTGAAGTTTCTCAGCACCGCATCATCACCCTGCTGCACATTCTCGGTCTTGTTTCCTTTTTACAGTCATCCCACCCTGCTCAGCCTGCTCATTGCTTCTTTCGCCACAGGCTCTTTGCTGTGAATTGCTGCCAACTTGGCTGTTGAAAGGCCAGGTCAGGAGGAAATAGAGAGGCCTAGCAAGAACAAGGAATGAGGGCCCCAATGGTGTCAGCATCTGAATCTTCCCACAATGCAACTGTGCCTTGGTTAAAAGACAAGTAGAATTAGAAATCATTGTGAGGTCACCAGAAAATAGCACAGGGTGGTACTGCTTTCTAGATATAGTCTCTGAGTATGTAGAAAGCTAGGAGGAATGGAAGGGAAAGGCCACAGGGTCTCCATGCCAGGTTCAAATAGCCCACACAGGAAAATATTCTGAAAACCTCTGAACTTTTGTCTGCTTGATCAAACAAAGGAAAATTAGTTTTGCTGTTCACTATAACAACCTGCAGACCAGGTTAACCTCATGGACGCTGAGCATCTGCAGGAACTGAGATTAGGTGAGGCCTATGCCAGATCTACAGAGGGTGGGGGAGGGGTGAAGCAGCCTGGTTCCCAATTTGGAGTATCTTCTGGGACTATGGTTTGCTGGGGCCCAGGTTGCTCACCTTGTCTTCTTGTTACAGGGCACCCCAAAATCTGTTACACTCTTACTTCCCTTACCTATTTCCAGTTCTATCCTCTGCCCCAGCAGGTGGTACACTGCAGGGTACATCAAGCATTGGTCTCCTCTCCTCTGGAGTCTTAACCTCAGGGACCACTGACTTCTGCTGACAAATACAGGAAAGTTGTTAATAGGGACATTTGGGCACTGACTAACTTCTCTCTGATCTTTCTTCCCTCTTCAACTTTTGGGTGCCAACTTGAGCATATGTCTTAAATTTTCCTTTGCATTCATTCTGTTGCCAGTGTCATAGTTATAGCTAGCGCTACAAGAGAAATTCACTTCCCAGTTTCCCCAAAACATGTAGGGGGAGCCTGAAAAGAAGGCTTAGGAGCCTGGCTTAGGGAAGCTGAGCCTGAGGTGGTATGCTACAAGTGTAGAGGAGTTGAGGAGCTGCCGGAGGAGAACCCTAGGGATGGGAAGCTGAGCTGGCATCAGCACATGCACTGCAGAGTCCCGTGCCCACGTGATGCTGGGATCCATTCAGCTCTTGGGTTTTTTGGTATCCTGTCAGGAGGTGACGATGAGTGGATGCCATTCATGAGTGGAAACAAATCTTTCGGTTTATCCCTGCATGCAGCAGGCGCGTGCCTTTCTCCCAGACCTTACCTATGGGCTGGAGAAGCCCAGGAATCAAGAAGTACTTGGCGGGCACGAGCCTGCCTCTGCCGGGACGACCTTGAAGTAGCTCTTATGTCCGGATGGCTCTAACGACCGAACGTTCGCTTTCCTGAAAGTAACCACAGAAATAACACAGCTTTGTGCTTTGAGTGGAATTTACAGGAGTGGAGCCCGGGGTAGCCGAGATGGTGAAATGAAAATTTTTCCGATCTCAAATGTTCGATGACAGCAGACTCAGGGGACATCCGCGGCGCGCGGCGCGCATTTGCGAAGCGCGGGCCTGGGACAAACCACCCGTTTTTTTTCCTCTGCTGGGTGGTCGGGGTGGGAGGGGGCCGGCAACTCGGCGCTCGCGAACGGCGCTGTGCTATCTCATTTCACTGTTCAGCTTTTACGGGTGTTATTTTAATGACCCAAATTAATGTTCACCCTTCTTATAGAATGTAAAAGTTTAATGGCATCCACTCTCCTTGCTCGTGCACTGAGTCAATTCGCTTATACACGCGCTTTTTCTTCTTCTTCTTCTTCTTCTTTTTTTTTAACATCCTAGTATGGGACGAAGTCCAAAAACTCCTAACAGGAAAAGGAACGTGGGGAGATCACACAGGACTCAATCACTGCCCACAAGGACGGGTCCTTTCTCGCCTCTTAGAGAACCACTGCTCTTCTTGACTTGAGCGCAACTGACCACCTTCCAGGTTGAGATGGGCTAAATCTGACTTCGTGGTAGACAGACGTATCTGTAATCTCAAAAGGAACAAGAGGGATTATGATGGGGATAAGGCTCCAGAAACCCAGAGGAAGAAGAAAAGACCTCTGGCTATCGCTCAGTCTCAAAAAAACTCTGTCCTAGGGTTGGCTGGGCCTCCAGGTCTGGGAGGGGCTGGTAGAGACCTTGGGGAGGGATTTAATCTCTCCCTCTTTCAACCAACTTCTAGGGAAAAGAAGCGAGGAGAAACAGATAACTGGATTTGCCTTGGAAATTTTTTTTGCCCGCTTTAGGCCTGGTGGCAGGCTGTGTGACTGGGGAGCTTACTGATGGCATCTAGCAGCACCAATGCGTCTTAGACCCTGGAAGCTTTGACTTGGATCCAAGGGCATCACATCCAAAAGGCACAGTGCCCAGACCCAGCACCCCATAATCACTCACCCCAGAAAGAGGCAACTTCAGTCAAGTGGACCATTCAGGGAGACTGTCTGTCTGTTCTCAATGTCCGCTCTCCAAATTGCCTTTAAGGGCTGTCTACTCACATTAGTGAAGCCAGAAGCACAGCACTTGAGGCTATTGAAAGGAAGGGGTGGATCAGATACCCTTAGGAGCACTGTGCCCATGCTGTGGACAGCTATTGTGATGTGTGCATTCTTTTCCACAGTGACTTCCTGTACAATCAGGTGACTTTTCTATTTTATAGTTGTTTAGATGTTATGTATTCTAGCCAGGGCAGATATCCAACCCTGAAAAAAAAATCTTTTGTGCATTTTATATGCTTTTCATTATTGAGATGGAAATTCGTAAGTGACCACTCAATAATAGATAGGCCACATCATAACATCAACCCTGCCTTACATGAATTGTGTTTGTCAGTCAACATTACAGCCTTTTCATTAAAATGACCAAAGAATAAATAGACCATAGCTTAAAGTTTCAAATATGTTTTCAGGCAGAAATATTCCAAGAATGCAAGTCAGGTATATTTCTCAGATAAACGACAGTAAGGCACTGCATTTAAGAAAATTCTCTCTTCTCAGGTTTCCTGAAATCCAGCACGCTCATCATTAATCATTCATTGGGGTCTGCCCTTCAGTGAATGGCAGCTCTTAGTAAATCCTTCCTACCAAGGGGTTCTTGGGCTGGAGGACAACTGGGCAGTAGGTGACTTGTGCTGATGCCCAGACCCTGTTCATCGTGCCTGCGGGTTCACCAGGGCGCTCATTGTCCCCAGAACCAGACAGCTTTCCCGAAGGAAAAACAAATTAGGCATGATGTTTAGGGACTTGGGAGTTCTGGCGAATGGCTCAGGGTAGCTCTGCAAGCGCTGAACAAACCCATTCCATAGCTCTCTAGTAAATCAGCCGCAGCAGCAACCACCGCCTTCTTCCCCAACCTGCCTCTGGAAAGCCTCCCCAAGTTGGGCAGCGAATCCTTGCTGGGTTCCTGATTGCAAGCGCTTGTGGCAATGGGTCTCCCAGAGGGAGGGATTCCTGGGGGGAAGGGACCTGATAGCTTGAGTCTGCAGGACAGAGGAAAGGGAACCTGGAAATTGGGTACTGGGCAGGCGCGGGCTGCCAAAGAGGTGAGAGAGAACAAGAACCCTACTCCACGTTTCAACCTCTCCTTTCCGTCTCAGCTTCTGGAGGACTCAACTGCTTTCGCCCGAACTGAATTCCCGGCAGCTTCGGGTCTAATCAGAGGGTGGCCATGTGGCGCGTGAGAACTGCCGGGGTGCGTGGCTCTGGTGTGGGCGCACCCAGCGTCGGGGTGCAGCTTCTCAAAACCCTTCTCCTCCCACTCACTCTCTCCCATCTCCTCCCTCCTCCACACCCCCCCGCCCCCAGGTCCGGGAGGCTCCCTCCCTGCACCGGCCAGAGAGTACACAAAGCGGCGGGTGAGGGGAAGCTTCGCAGGCGTGCACCGAGCAGTGAGATCACTGGCGTTATAAATATCCCTGTGCCAGCTCCGAGATCAGCTCGGGTGGCCTCTCTCTCTCTCTCCCCCACTCCCTCTCTCTTCCCCGAGGCTATGTCCACCCGGTGCGGCGAGGGGGGCAGCGTCAGAGGCACGCAGCCGCGCGGGGGCTACAGAGCCCAGAAGCAGCCCTACAAGATGCACTTAGGACCCCCGCGGCTGGAAGAATGAGCTTGTCCTTCTTCCTCCTCCTCCTCCTCAGCCACCTGATTCTCAGCGCCTGGGCTCACGGGGAGAAGCGCCTCGCCCCCAAGGGGCAACCCGGACCCGCGGCCACTGTTAGGAACCCAGGAGGTGCCAGCAGCAGCCAGAGCAGCAGTAGCGCGACGTCTTCCTCTTCTTCCCCTGCCTCCTCCTCCCCTGCGGCTCCTCAGGGCAGTCAAGGAAGCGGCGTGGAGCAAAGCAGTTTCCAGTGGAGCCCCTCGGGGCGCCGGACCGGCAGCCTCTACTGCAGAGTGGGCATCGGTTTCCATCTGCAGATTTACCCGGATGGCAAAGTCAATGGTTCTCACGAAGCCAACATGTTAAGTAAGTTGCTTGTTCTATCAAAACCCGTCCTAAACTGGGGATAGAAGGTTAAGGAGGGATAGTTGGTTATATTCTGGGCTACGGGCTCACTTTAGCGATCCCCGACCTTTGGGATCCTCTTGGACCTTGAAATAACCAGGAGGGTTGGGTGGAGATAAGTGTGTATGACGCCAACACACGCACCTCTCTGTGGGCAAGAGGAATGGCGATTCTTGAGGTGTAGATGACCAGGAGCGGGTACACAAAAAAGCTACCTTGTTCCAGTCTGCCCTGGTCCCACTCGAGCCATGTCTGGAGGAAAACAAAATTCCAAATCGCCTTCATTCTCTTCATTTAGTTTCCATTTACCTCCTACTTATGAACGAGGGTAGTATTTTTCATTAGGTATCAAAGTGCATCCTTTTTTTTTTTTTTTTCTTATCTGTGCAGTTTTTTTTTTAGAAGAATCAAACCTTATAACTCCCTCTTCAACTACCACCATAAACCCTAATATTATATATAATATACATCTCTATATATGTACTATATGTATATGTCTATAGTGTAAACATATATGTACATAAGTGTGTATTTTTAATGTCTAGATCTTTTTCAGCTATCTTCTAGAGCAGACTAGACTTCACAGCATGGAAGATGACAGTGATCTGGAAAACTGGGCACATTTAGAGAGGGAGGTACCAGAGACATTTGAGTTATTAACTCCAGACTTGGGTTTAGCAACATTTAGTATTTTGAGACCTTGACAACACCTCACTGAGGAAGTATGTACAGCCTTTATCTTTAGGACAATTAGGGAAAAGTGCTTTATTTTTCAAAAGCTCAGAGGTTCAATTCTATGTATGTATAGGCTTTTAAAAACTCAGTTTAAAATCTGCCTGCTGAGTTTTCTCTAGCCCTCTTTCCCTCCTTTCTCCTCTTTTCCTCCAGCCTATCTGCATTTGTATTTCCAGACTTTGTACCTATGGTTTTTCTCACTATTAGGCAGCTAAGCAGAGAGATGATTTTGTGTTGTGTGCTGGATTGGGGGGGGGGGGCGAAGGAGGAGGGTCCAGTCTCTGGGGAGTTTTTCCTTGGTAGGGTCAGATCGCTCTGTTCTCAGCTGAGTTTAATACACTTTATGGAACCTCAGTCAGGGCCTCTGAGATACCCAGGGACATTGAGATCTGGCCAGAAGATAACGCTGACCCTGGAGAGCTAGCCTGCTAGCTTCCAGGTGTCTCGAACTTACTCCTCGCAAACCAACAACCCCAGGGGCCATTGAACTTTTTCTTGGGAAGCTTGGGAAGCGCGAGGGCGCCAGAGCCTGGCTAACGATCTGGCAGCCGCCTTTGGAGCGAGATTGGAGGTGCGCTGGTTTGTGGGCTTGCGGGCTGGCAAGCTTCCTCCCGAAGGTTGGGGGTGGGGGTGGTGGTTAATGAAAAAGACCTGGTGTTTGCGCTGGAAGGAGAGAGGGTCTGTGCCACCTGCACCTGTCTAGTCTTTTGTGCTTGTGCGGATCCAGCTGGAGGTTTAGCTGGTGGTGAGTTAGTTCTCTGCACAGCTCTGAGACACCTTCCACACACACCCCAATGACCCCCAGGGTTTCCCACAGGCTCCAAATGGGAGTTTCCCCACATTTTAAGGTTCATTTTGCTCTCATCAAGTAGCTCCCCATCTCTGGTGATGAAGGACAAAGTCTTTTAAGGGAATTTTCTGAGACTACGAGCAGGGAGAGTTCTACTGCAGCACTTCCACTTGCCCCTCTCATTTTGTCAAACCCAACTCTGCACTCCAAGAGCCCTGGGTTTATTCCCCATGTCCGATATTCTGTCCTCCTTTCTCTATTTGAAAACTTTTTCTAAGCTGGCCTTGTAGTTTTCCAAGAAATCAGTACCAATACTTCTCTGTTCCCAAGGGATAACCCAAAGTTTGCAGACAACAAGTCTGCAGGGTGGACCCCAAGGGGGTGAAAGAATGTGTCTAGGGCTGGTATTGTTGTGCTAAGAAATCTCTGAACAGTAGCATCACCCCCCACGATATTCACTGTCTTCTTTTGGAAGAAATCCTAAGAGACAAAGAATTTTCAGCTTAGGCCTTGCCAGGGAGAATTTATAGAAAAGTCTAGGAAAGAAAAGAACACATTCAGCTAAAGAAGACATTGACTAATGTGTTATTTCTGAGGTACAGGTTATTTTAAAATCCATGTTCAATGATATCTACAAAGGGACAGAGATGCTTCCTGAACAAGACCTAAAATGTAACTTCCTTAATTTAAATAACCCTTTCCCAGTTCATTTCAAGTCACAACTTTTCACAATTTAGTCTTGGTGTCTTTCACATGGCTTTTGATCATTCACTTATTTACTCATTCATGCACCCAGGAGAGGCTCCTTATCTCACCAAGCTTAATATTTTGCTACTTGTACATTAGTTGAGGGTTTTGTTTGTTTCCCCCTTTTTGTCTCACAGAGGAAAGAAAAACTCAAATCACAGCGATCTCTGTTTTGTGATGCCTAGGGTGTCCTATCTACTTCATATGATTTTTGCTAACATTGATCAATGAAGAACGTGCACATAGGTCATGTTTAGTAGGATGACATGTGATTTGTCAACTTAATGGGTTTCTGCCCATAAGTAGCTATAAAAGAGAAACAGAAGCTTGTAACATTTGGGGGGGAGCACATACTCCTTAAAAAGGAGCACTTGACAGTTTCCTACACATATGTAAACCAAATCATTGGTCACAGACTGTTGGCTAAAGTATATGAGGAAGTGCTTGTCAGTCTCACAAGACAAGAGACACTAATAGTTGGATCAAGGGCCATAGAGGATGTATGGGCTCATTTATTGTTTAAGTCTACTGTCTGTGGGCTAGCAAAGATAAACAGAACTTTCATTTTTTTGCTAACAGTTTGCTACTTCAAGAGAGTGAAAAACTGCCATGAAACTGCATTTAAGCAATTTAAACCCAGCATTTCTGTTGCATTAATTAAATAAAACATTCCCCCACAAATATGATTTGACATAGTTTTTGCAAACTGTCAATATTTTCTAGTTTTGCCAGCAGAAGCAAACTTTGGTTATAGACTTTGGAACATGGTTGTTAATTAGGGTATATCAATTAATGTATATTTAACTTCTTTCATACAATAGTTATCCCAAGTATATAAAAAGGAATCAAGCTCATTTCACATAGACTTTTGTTCTGAGAAAATAGTGGGGAAGCATGGAAAAGACAGGTGATGAATTCCAGCTACTGAAAAGAAACAAAGACTTTGTTTTCATTTATATGCTCTCAGGTTAAGAATACAATGCTTCTGTTAACAAATCTTAGACCACTGAAGAATAAGCAATCAGGAAACTTGCCATTTAGGGGAAATGATAGTTGTATATAATAATGGGTATACAAATCAAAAGTAATTACCTAAAAACTAACATTTACAATGACATATTTTTTGCTGAATAGAAACTCCCAGTTTTAAAAAGATGAATTTACTATCACTTTTGGTGTCTTTTTTTTTTTTTGAGTCAACTTTTGTGTGGTCCTCCAAGCCTAGATAAGTCAGAATCCATATCTACGGTATAGAAAATTGTCACCAATTTTATCAATGAAGACTGATAGTCAGTATAACTCAATATTCAGATTTGATAAGGAAATAGCATATTTGTGTTTTGTGAACACAAATAGAAAAACTCCAGTTTTGAATTATCTCTCTTTGAAGATTTTTAAATGGGCTATTGAAATTATTCAGAATCTCTGCATCTACCTATTTTTCATTTACTAAGAAAAGGAAGCTGTCTATATAATCATATCAATTATTAAAAGACTATCGCATTAAAAATTCTTGCGGGACTTAGTCAACAATCCAGACATATATTTTCTTAATGAAATAAACTTACTTTATAAAGCATTACTGTGCTTCTAAGTAAGTGAATTAAACAGTATGTACCATCTGAGAGACCACACACTCTTGTCTCCTTCAACCTAGATGTTACCCTAAAAATTCCAAGAGAGAGTAATTATTTTTGTTTAGATCGCCCTTTTCATTTGATCCTCTTAAATGTGAACACCCTAAAAAAAAAGAAAAAGAAAAAAAAGGATAGTACATTGTGACAAGCTCTTTAGCATGAATTAATTCACACTGATTTAAGCAGAAGAGATCCACAATAGCAGTAGAGAACATTCATCCTTCCATGTGTGTACATGGTGTGTGTGAAAAAGGAAAAGAGGTGGTGAGGATGTCAAAGAAAATCTAATTCACAAACATTCATGACTGTCTATGATCTGTGGCCTGCTACAATTTTGTTTAGGGATACCATGTTGTCATCTTCACCTTGAGTTATAAATTGACATCAAATTTTTTTATTACTGATTCCTAATGATAGGGAAGCAGGAAATTACTGAAATTGGAAAAAGAAAAAATTTTAGAGAAGTATTTTCTGGAATTTAATGCACATGGGTTTTGAAATGTGTAGAATTCTTAATGAGTTACAGAAAATTGGCATAGTAAAATAAGTAGGTCTGTGATCAACCCTAGGGGGTCGGGAATTCAATTGTGAAGCTTATAGAATCTGTTCCAATATTCTAGAAGCAAAGCCATTGTGAAATTACTGTTGAAATTATTTTGGAAATTATGATTTTAGCAACACTCCCAACCATAACCTAAGTGCCATAATGGCATTAAGATTTAAAAGATCATCCAGAATTGCCTTTGTGAAAAAACAGCTATTTCATTTAATCTCATCTTTTATTTTTTGTTGTATTCTTCATCATTATAAGTAGAATGATTTTTTGAAGGTATTAATTTTAAGATTTCAATTAAATATAGTTTCCTTAAACTGATGAAATTATTTCATTCTCAGGCAACTCATTATTTTTATACTGGAACTTATAAAAAAGACAGTATGCAGTCTGTAAGAATAATACTTTCACATATATCACTTTATCATTCTCTTTAAAATTTATTATAATGTAATTTTTATAGAATGTATGTGCAGAATATAACATTGCTAATTACAAGAGAAACGAGTGAAAATGGATGTTTAAATAAATAGTATATGTTATCAGAACCAATAGTTTACATAAACAAAGGGGCCTTCCAATTTAATCATGTGTATAATGTTCTTTTTTTTTTCTTGTGTATTGTTCTTGTTCTTGCTAGCCAGCAAACACATATATTTAATGATATCTTGGTTCTCTTTGATACCATTATTTTTTTTTCACTAATACACAATAGATTTGCATTATAAAACCAGGTTATTTTCCCCAACCCCGCAGCAAAGTAGATAAATTGGGGAAAGTAATAAATTGGGGAAATAACATAGAACTAAGTCTCTCTTTTTTGGCCAACATCTCATTGCCTCCTTTGTGTCTGTGGTTTCTCACAGATATTTCTCAAGTTCTCCCTGTCACTTTTTTTTAACACACGTTTACACAGTATTCACAGCCACATCCTCCATCTCCCAAATATCTAAAATAATTAATGTTGTTTGCAATGCCATTCTGTAATTTTTCCAGAAACAGACTTTGTGTCAGATGTCTTATTCATGTTATTATAATAATCTAATGACATTCCACTCTATGCAGCATATTTAGCTTTACAAGCATTGTGTCTTTTTTATAAAATGGTAATGCATTTTGATCTTTGAGTATGCATCATCATCAAATAATTTGTATAGCAAAATTTATCTAAATACCACGTTAAAATGAATTTATGAGACAACAGTTTTTAAACAAAAAGATGAAGTTCCCAGCAGTTTTGGGGCTTTTTTCCTATTAATGAAACAGCCACTAATAAATTGGTAGGTGTTGTCTGTTTGTTTGTTTTTCTTTTCTTTTTATTTACCCTGGGTTTAGAATGCATATAGCAAAAGTAAACTTCTTTAGCTACTTTTCCCCTACACACCCCATGCCATGAACTTTTTGATTAGGTATTTTAATGAGATAAAGTTGAATAAATAAACAGCAGTATTTGCTTTAATTATACTTTTTTTTAGCTCACAGTATGCAACATGAGTTTCCAAAAAAGAGATTCACATGTATATTATATGTGTGTGAATCCACAATAGATTGTATCTTTCATAAACTTAATAATTTTGTATATACCTGAGTACTACAGAATGAGGATGTTAGTTTAAGAAAATCTGGTGAATTTCTCTATTCAGAAAGTTCAGTTGAGGATTTATATGCTCAGAATATTATAGAATAAAATGTTGAGATTTCTTTTCCTCCTTTCTTCCGTCCTTGGTCCCTTTCTTCCTAAGAAAGTTCCATTTTTTGCACTAGTGAACATATTACTTTGTCCCTATTTATTTATTTTTGCAATTTGATGTAGGCAATTAAGAAAAAGCATTATGCCTGATTATGTTCATATATTGTATGTGAATTTATGATAAATAAGCAGGAATTCCAATTATGAGTCTATGAGTTTCATCTTCTTAAAATATTCTATGAGCTGTGTTGTGTGATTTTCTAGACCTCATGAATGTAGATTTAAAATTATTTTAGGAGACAAAGGGATACTGACTTGGCAAAAACTAACTATGAAGTATCAGATATAAACAACTATGTAATAAAACACCTCGTTAAATTTTTCCAGAAAAGTCATTCAAAACACAAGATGTCTTAAACCATAATCCATTAAACACTTCCTTGAGCCAATAATCCCAAATTATTTATAATGCTCTCAGTATCTTGTTATGTGTAGTCTTTAAATGAGCTATTCACTAAATGATTGAGTATAGTATATATTGATTTGTAATTTTATAATTATAATTTGAGCAGAGGGATTTCTTTTATGTATGTATTATTCGCAAGACTTTCAATGGTTTATACTTGTCTTGAGTACCTTTTTTGTACTTTAGTGTTTAATGTGGTGTGCTTTCTCTTGTTGTAAGATAATGCATGATAATTATTTTGAAAAACATTTCAAAAAGTCTTTTCAGTTCCTTTAGATCTTGAAAAGATTCTGTCAAACTTGTTTACAAAAGTGACATGATTTGTGAGAAGAATTACTAGTGAAGCAGAGCTGAATTTTTCATTCTTGAAATTTTTAATTTTAGATGAATACTTGATTGCTAGTTTTTATATATATATATACATAATGAATGCTATGGAAAATAATGATGTTAAATAATGTTTTCTTTTTAAAGCCATAATAGTAAGAATGGATATAATCTATGTAGAAGTTTAATTCTTCACGATGATATATAGAGGAGTCTGTGTTTTATTTTGGGATTTCTGTCATCCTAGGTATTTTGGAAATATTTGCTGTGTCTCAGGGGATTGTAGGAATACGAGGAGTTTTCAGCAACAAATTTTTAGCGATGTCAAAAAAAGGAAAACTCCATGCAAGTGTAAGTAGAACCACTTTATATTTGTTAAAGGTGTTATGGAAATTTTACATTTGTAAAATGGAATTAAGTGATTTTCCAAACTAGTAGACAGAAAAGTTTTCCCAGGGAATATGATGGCTCTTCTTCCTTGTAAAAATTATATGTACATTTAACTAAGAAAATTGTGTTTTTGAAAGTAATCATTTAAATATTATGCTTATGTGTAAAGATAAAGTTCACAAAATGTTTGAAGGGTATGTGTATTTGAGCATTCTCAAAGAGTTTGGTATAATTTCTTCTTAAATAGATCTTAAATGAGGAGAAAAAGTTTGGAAATAATACATTACATTTTAAATTTACATTTTATGGGGATAGAATAGATATGTGATTATTTAATTTTTGTAAGTTATGATGTCAAAAATTGGTTCTAAGAAAGTGGACATATTTCCATATTAATAGATATGGCAGGATGAAATAAATAATGAAAAGCTTTAAACCGTCACAGAGAAATTTTATTTGATCCATTTGAAGAATTGTCATCTTGCAATTTTTATTGCATCAAAAGCAATTCTTAAAACTATGAATTCTAATTTTTCACTCAAAATTTCTTCAGGCCACTTATACACTTTTTAATCAATTTGTAAATTATAGATTTCTATAATTCATTCTATATGTTCTCATCATTTGGAAAGCGCCAGGACATTTTAAAGATACTAAAATACATCTACCTTTATCTTCCCACCCACAGATTCTGTTTATTCTACTAGTACGAATGCACAGCACTTACAAGTAATTTGGGTATTTTTCTGAATTACTCTGTCTTATCACATGAGATTTTTAAAATGTCAATTCTTTAATCCCCATTACCTTTAATTTTTACTAAATGAATTGAAGAAATATCACTTTCCCATTTTTCAGAGTATATTGGATGTTCAAGTTTGATGTAGAATTGAAATTTACAATTTATGACTTCTGCTTTACAAACCCTTTAGAAAACAATCGAGTTTCATTTGATTCAGTCTGTGAGACTTTCCATTTTCACTTCTCTTAACACTTAAAGGTAACTTGTAAACACTTCTCAGAAAAAACACTAGAATGCAAGCCATTTCCGTAGTTATTTGACAATTAAATGAGATTATACATATAAAAATTTTGAACAGTATTTGGTACATTGTAAGTGTCAATAAATATTACTTATTATTTTATGATAAAATGACTATAAAAAGTTATTAAAAGCTCAGCTTATTAAGATAAGTAGAAAAACTTGTTAACTGATTTAATCACGTATTGCAAGAATTATAAAAAAGAGTTACTCACTTCATTGTCTGAACTGGTTATTTTATCTTAATAAGTTATATTATTCATAAAATAATTCCTCTGTTGTTATCTATTTATTAATTTATTTTGAAGAACAAAGCTCTGTCTCACCATGGAGATGTGGGGCATCCCATTTTCTTAGAAAACAAATTTGACTTTTGAAATCCAAGTACAGAATAGAAAACAAAGCTCAAACTTATCTGAACAGAATAAATTTTTCCTCAGTTTACTTTGAGATTGTGAAAAATTCAAACATTGTCAAAATCTAAGTGGTATGATAACATGTAGAGAATATGAATAAAATTTCTCTTAATTGTTTCTTTTAGTAGTCTGATTCTTGCCTTACTTAGTAATGCAAAATATAGACTAAATTTGGGCTAGCTTAAGGATAATTACCACAGTAAGGGAAGTTTTACAAATGGATGCCAATTAAAAAGGTCAGCCCCAGAGGTTAGGATATATGATTCCTCTGTCAAATGCAAGTAACAAATTTCCAGAAATTTGACCCAAATGTCTAAGGATGGCTGGCTGAAATAATGCAGATAATGCAAAAACAGCATCTGTTATTCTTTCTCATCTTGGCAGGCTGAAGTTATTTCACGGAATAATGACTTTTAAACAGTATAAAGCAAGTCTTGCTCTTGTCACTCATTGAAGTTCTTTGATATAAAAGTCATTCTGATGACTTTGAGCTGAATTGCAGATAAAAAATTAAGCCCTGTGATTATGTGGATTCTTTCTAAACCAATGGTCCAAGCCTACTTTCTCTTATCTGAACTTTCATTAGCACTTTTTTCTATGGATGGCAACTTAATTAAATTATAATGTAATTTATTTTTTAAAAAGATGAATTTAGGGGCCCTCTCTGGTGGCGCAGCGAGTTAAAGCACTGCACTAGGAAGCTTAGGCCACTTCCGCATGAGTTCGATTCCGCCTGCCCCGGAGGAGTCCACATGGCGTAGCAGACCTCTCCTGACCTGCCCGCTGCTCCCCTCAGCAGTGTACTTCGTCGATCTGTCTGTTCTGCTCCCCATTCTGTCTCTGGTGAATCCTCTCACCCTCCTCATCTCTGGCCTGTACCCCAGTTCCATATGAATAAGTAAATAAATCTTTAAAAAAAAAGTTGAATTTAGAAAGAGTATTAATCCTAGCAATTATCATTTTTATACTCATATTGCTTCTTTCCTGTTTTCAGCTTCTTGTTAAACATGTTTTAAAAAAAAACGGTTCTTGTAACTTTAAACACAAGTATTTGATTTGATTTAATTTTGATTTTCACAAAATTGCATTACCAAAAAAGCTCAAAGTCTCAGGCTTGCCCACTTAATATGAAATCCATGAGTTGCTTTAAGTTAAAAATTATGTATGACATTTATAGAATATTGTTAGAATCATTTGTCTACATGTATATATGTATATCAAATTATCACATTGTACATCTTAACCATAAACAATGTTGTATGGCAATTACACATCAATAAAACTGAAGGGGAAAAAATATACCTTTAGAATTCTATCTCCAAAATAAGTGGGAAGTCTCCATGTAATTCTGGGAAAAGGAATTTTCCCAAGTTAGCACATTAACCAATGATTGAACCAGAAATACATCGTTTTAAATTCTTTCCTTGAAAATTCTAACCTGGAAAGGGATAGATAAACATTAAATTGAAGGAAGATTTTTAACTTCTAAACAATAACATTTATTTCACCCATTTTCCCCTAAGAATTTGTAATCATATTTGTTTACTAATATTTTCATATTACATTTTACATAATGAATACTATGACACATCCGTACAATATTTTGCTTCTCTTTTAGTCCTCTTTTTCTCTTGTTCTCTCTCTCTCTCTTCTTCCAGAGCTCTTGCTTGGATTTTTCCTCCCACTTGCTCCTTTGTCTCCAGAATTTGATATTGCAATCTAGAAAAGAAGGGATTTATCCGCCACTGAACTTATCACAGACCTTGACAAGTAGTAGCTACTCAATGTGCTGAACAATAGCATAGAAAACCCATCTTAAGATGAACTTTTTAAAACGAAAAGCATTCTGTTTTGTTCACTAGTAGCCTTTACTTAGAAAATGCATTTTCATTTGCAAACCAAACAGTCCCCATGGCTTGATTTCTGTGCTGATTTCCTTGTTGGGTTAAGTCAGTCAACTCAGCAAGAAAGGTCTTATTTGAATTTGAACCCTCTCAGTGGGCACACTCCCTGCAGCCCCTGCACTCAGTCTACACCCGCACACCCCTCTCGGTCTCGCTCACCTCTCCTCCTGACCTTCACCCACTTACTTGCAAATAGACTGTGCAGCCATATTCCTCCCACACCAGTTTTTTTTCTTCCCCCCCTCCCCCAGCATTCTTACTCAGGGTGAAGGTGTAAGGTCTTTTCTTTCTCAAAATGTGTTGGGAATCACTGGGAATAAATGCATGTGTAATTGCTTCCCAATAACCCCTAAGCATTAGTCAGAGGCTTTGCTGGGTCCTCTGTTCTCTCTCTCTCCACTCATTACAAGGCCGGGTCTTGTTGGCTGAGTCCTTTTTTCTTTTTGTATCTCTCCGCCTGCCTGTCTGTTCTTACTCCCTCCTCATGCTATTCCTGTTGCCTCACCAGAGTTGTACTCTTTTTTATTTTATTTTATTTTATTTATTTGTTCATACAGAACTGGGGTACAGGCCAGAGGCTCAGGGGCGGTGAGAGGCTTCACCAAAGACAGAGTGGGGAGCAGAACAGGCAGATCGACGAAGTACACTGCTGAGGGGAGCAGCGGGCGGGTCAGGAGAGGTCTGCCACGCCATGTGGTCACCTCCGGGGCAGGCGGGAATCGAACTCATGCGGAAGTGGCTTTCACTTCTCAGTGCTGTGCTTTAACCCGCTGCGCCACCAGGGAGGGCCCAGAGTTGTACTCTTAATAGAAAATCCCATAGAGAGTCTTTCTGGATTGACCTGAGGCAGATCTAGATGTAAGAGTAAAAGTTTGTGAGAGGATTTTTAAGAGAATAGTTTCTCCAAGCACTCATCTCCACCATCCACCACTGACTGCATACATTCAATGCCTTTTTACATAATCTTTACCACTGACTGCATACATTCAATGTCTTTTTACATAATGTCTTTTTACATAATCTTTCTATAGCTTGGTTTTATGAGCTAATAAAGGAGAAGAATTATGAGCAATAATCTGTTGTATTTGGACATTTTAAATGTGAGATCATAGATATAAAGCATTTAGAGTGGTGTCTGGGAATTATTCAGCATTTAATATCAAACAAATTGTTCTGAATTTGCTCTTAGGCAGCTCTTTGAGGACTCTCAATCTCCCCTTATAGTAGACTTTCTGATTTGGACATCGGGCATCTATGACCCCCAAATCCTATTTATCATCAACCTTTATTTTCATTTTGGTCCAAACTTTTCATGCACACCGTAGCCCTATATCTCCCGAGGTCCTCTTTGTGCGTAGATCCTAATATGAAAGCAAAATTCCTAGACTCAATCTCTTAAAGAGACAAGGATTTCCTGTGGACATAATCTTGTAATTCTTTCAGAGCCCAATTGTTTTTCCCCTAACAAATAATAATTCTGGAAAAGGTAATTATGCATTCATCAGTGTTTTCATATTGTTTGCATGAAATCTTGTTGCCTGTTGAGAGAAAATGCTTTCAGTTTATTTTAAAGATCCAGAGAGACGCATGTGGTGGAAT